GGAGGAGGAGGAGGAGGAGGAGGTGAATCCCGAGTCCAGTCTTCCTCGCTGCTGCGCTTCGAACCCTCCATCGGTCCGCTCTCGTCGCCAGATCCAGCGACTTCTGTGGCCCTCGGTACCAACTTTTTTATTCCTGTGTTTACTTGCACCTTTCTGCCTTTCGCACGCATCTTTTTTTGCCTTTTCGTATACCATGCGGGTGAGGCTATCCTTCCAGTTCTCGTCGTTCCTTGATCTGAGATGAGGAAGGAGGGAGGGAGGGAGGGAGCCAGGGAGGGAGGGAGGGATGAGGATGGAGGGATGGAGGGAGGGAGGGAGGGAGGGATGAGGAGAGAGGGAGGGAGGGAGGGAGGGAGGGAGGGAGCGAGGGAGCGAGGGAGGAGGAGGAATAGGAGGAAAAGGATGATGATGATGATGATGATGATGATGATGATGATGATGATGATGATGATGATGATGATGATGATGCTGATGCTGATGCTGATGCTGATGCTGATGCTGATGCTGATGCTGATGCTGATGCTGACGCTGACGATGATGATGATGATGATGATGATGATGATGATGATGATGATGATGCTGATTCTGATGCTGATGCTGATGCTGATGCTGATGCTGATGCTGATGCTGATGCTGATGCTGATGCTGACGCTGATGATGACTGATGATGATGATGATGATGATGATGATGATGATGATGATGATGAAGATGATGATGATGATGATGATGATGATGATTGAATGATGATGATGATGATGATGGATGATGATGATGAATGATGATGATGATGATGATGATGATGAATGATTGATGATGATGATGATGATGATGATGATGATGATGATGATGATGATGATGATGATGATGATGATGATGATGATGATGATGATGATGATGATGATGATGATGATGATGATGATGATGATGATGATGATGATGATGATGATGATGATGATGATGATGATGATGATGATGATGATGATGATGATGATGATGTATGATGATGATGATGATGATGATGATGATGATGATGATGATGATGATGATGATGATGATGATGATGATGATGATGATGATGAGGAGGAGGAGGAGAGGAGGATGAGGAGAGGAGGAGGATTAGGAGGAGGGAGAGGAGGAGGAGGAGGAGGAGGAGGAGGAGGAGGGGGAACAGGAGGAGGAAGATGCCCTCTCTATGTTTTTCCGTTCAGCGCTCGCTCCTGGCACCCGAAGGTGGATGAAGTCGGAGTTCCCCTCGCTGCAGGCGCCCCCTGCACCGACCTGACACTTTCCTGTCCGAGCAGCCCTGGTCAGTTCGGGCAGGCCTTGGATAGGGAAACATCATTCCAGAGCGTTCCAGAACGCTCTCCGAGCTCCGAGCGTTCTTGAGCTCTCTGGAGCGGCCGCGGCGCCCGATACATCCTGCAGAATTGCTGGATCTCAGAGATCCCCGATTTATCCCGGTCCAATTTTGTCTTGGTCCTGGCTTCGTGCCAGTCGGCTTCTCTCGAACAACACGTGCGGCAACAAGCCTGGGCCCATGTCTGTCAACGTCTGCTTTCCTCTGCCTTGGGCCTTTGTGAGGTCATCGCCCTCTTCCTGATGTCCATGTTTGTATACTATATCATGCCCATCGACGAACAACAGAGGCATACACATAAACTTTTGGCGCTCCGTGCGGATTTCTTGGAACCGCGCTGGGCCCCCCCCCGGCGGCGCCTCCAGCGCCACGCTCGGCGCGCTCCGCGAGGGGGGTCAGCGCAGATCTAAGAAATCCGCGCGGAGCGCCAAAGGTTTATGATTCTGGTGTTTTTTCTTCTTCTAGTTCAGCCCTGGCTGCCACTGCGGTGCTGCGCCTTCCCCCCACCCCGACAGGGCCCGGGAGGGCAGCGATACCTCTCAGTCGGTGCAGGCGCGAGAGCTCTGCTCTGTTCCCTCTGCTCCTCCTGTCGCCGTGGCTGCTGCTCCTCCTCCTTCCTCCTGTTCCTGATCCTCCTCCTCCTCCTCCTGCTCCTGCTCCTGCTCCTGCTCCTCCTCCTCCTCCTCCCTCCTTCTCCCCTCCTCCGCCTCCTCCTCCCCTCCTCCTCCTCCCCTCCTCCCTCCCTCCCTCCCTCCCTCCTCCTCCCTCCCTCCCCTCCCTCCCTCCCTCCCCTCCCTCCCCTCCCTCCCTCCCTCCCTCCCTCCCTCCCTCCCTCCCTCCCTCCTCCGCTCGCTGGCCGCGGATGTGGCGCCCCCGCCAGCACTCGGGGGGCCACCCTGAGCGCGAGTCCGTCCAGCCAGGCCGCACACGCCACACCCCAGCAGCGACGAGGGAGGAAGCGGAAGACGGACGGCACGACGACGGAGCGAGGGGCACCCGCGGAGGCGGGGGGGAGAAGAGCGAGAGAGGCCGCGAAGCCAGGAGACACAGGAGAGCCGGTGGAGAGGGACGACGACGGGGGGGAGGGCAGCGCAGAGAGCAGGAGGAGGAGGAGAGAGGGGAGGCATGCGCGAGAAACGCGCAGTGGCCGGGGCGGGCTGGCAGGGGCAGGAGAGGAGGGCGTGTGGGGGGGGGGACGGGGGGCGGAGGTGGTCATGGGGGTCGTCAGGGGGGTGGCAGCGTCCGTCGTGGTGGTCGTAGGTTGGTGGTCGTACTGGCGGTGGTCGTGCTGGAAATCGGTCGTGCTGGCTGTGATCGTGGTGGTCGGGGTGGTCGGCGTTCTGGTTGAGCAGGAGGTCGTGGTGGTCGCGCTGGTGGTCGGTCTGCTGGTGGTCGCGGCGGTCGTCTTGGCGGGCGTGCAAATTAGTGGTTAGTCTTGCTCGTGGAGGTCGTGCTGTTGGCAGTCGTGGCCGACTATTGTCCGAGGGCGCTGAGGACCATCTCGGCGTTGCCCGTCTGTAGGGTCACCGAGATCTCGCGCCAGGGGCGGCCCAAGAGCTCGGCCCGCTCGTCCTCCTCCAGGTCGGCTCCGTAGTTGCGCACGAAGGCCGCGGCCTCTTCGGAGGGACCCCCCCCGGCCTCAAACACCATGGGGATGAGGTCGAGCCCTTGTCGCGTGGGGTACCGCGCCCTCTTGCTGTCGACCACCTGGGCCGCCGCCAAGCCACTCCTGTGGGACCGGGCCTGCCTGCGCGGGGCATGCGTTGAGTGTGCGCAGGTCACTGCCCAGTCCACAAAGATGTGGCGCCCCGTGGCGTAGTCGACAGTGGCCACGTCGAGCTTGGCCTCCTCGAGGCGGCCATTTGGGAGGCGGCGATCCCATCTTGGCACGTGTTGCTCGGTGGGTGGGGGCAGCGTATCCGGTGAGCGCTGCGTGCCGCTTGGAGTGCCAGTTCCGCAGTCAGTTGTGCCAGTCGTTCTGGAACTCCCCCACTTTGCACTTCCTCGCGTGCCACCCCTTCCGGTCGAGAGGCCGGTTACAGGGGTCCCGTGGTCCTGTCCTTGTGGTTGCAAAGGGTCCCCTCTGGGCAGACGGGCGTGTCCAGCCGCATCTTCAGATTCGTGATGAAGTGCTTGTCTGGCTGTGCGGCGTCGCCGGCGTGTCGGGGCAGCAGGAAGGACCCCGCCCCAGTTCCGCCCGCCGAGCTCAGCGAGAGGCGGCCGTCCTCGTCCAGCAGCGTATCCAGGAGCCGCTTCTTGCTAGCCTCCGAGGCGGCTTTCCTCGAGAGCCCTTGCCGCTTGTGCTGCGGCTCCCGCATGTAGTCGAGCAGGTTTAGCGGTTCTCCTCCGTGTGCGCCGGCGTCCTGGAGCGCCTGCTTTGCCTGGGCAATGGCCTGGAGGGTGCGCGGGCAGCGGGCGCGAAGCTCCTCCAGGGTGTTGACCCCTAGGCAGGTGGCCACGTCGTGCAGGCCGAGGTTCCAGCTAGCGGCGTAGCGGCCGGGGCGGTCTGAACGGTGGAAGGGAAGGCGCACCCTCCGTTGGATACGCGCAGCGTGGCCCGCAGGCGCCGCACGTCGTCCAGGGGCTCCGAGAGGAGGTTTTCGAGGCGGCGAACAGCACGTCGTCGAGCTCCCGCACCCAGCCTGTCTGCAAGTTCGCCCTGAGGTGGTGCGTGACGCATCCCCTCCCGTAAGTGCACAGGAACGTATACGTGGCTTCGGCTGAGAGGCCGGCCGCTCTCAGTTCCCGCAACCGCGCGGCGAAGGCCCGCGCTCGACCCGCTGCCGCGGCGATGTCGGCCCTGGGGTGCACCAGGACCCTGTCTTCTGGTTGGTCTAGCCACTGGTTGGTCTAGCCAGGGAGCGGCGTTTCCGAGGCAGAGCAGGTTATCAGCCTGGAGGGCGGCGAGTCCGGCTGGCAGCAGGGCCCCGCGGTCGGCTGCCCAGGTTTCTGTCTTGCCGAGGTTGACCGACGGGCCGAGGCGAGCGAGCTCCTCGGGAACCAGTGGCGCCGCCGCAGTGGCGTGTGCTGGCGGCGCGTAGACCATGATGTCGTCCAAATAGGGGAACGCCTGGCATTCTGGGGACAGCTGTTGGAGCCTTCTGTCGATCTCGCTCAAAGCACCCGTCGCGATAATCGCGAAAAGGGCCGGCCGGGGACAGCGGGCACCCTTGGTCGGCTCCGCTGGTTGCCAGGATGGGCTCGGCGCAATCGTTGCCGCCCCAGAACAAGTGCGTCGTCTACCCTCCTGTACAGCAGTGCGCCGTTCTGAGTAAAGCTGGTGCCTGGGCGCGGAGGCTGCTCAGGATGTGGTGTCAGGGCAAGCTGATGAAATCGTTGCTGCAGTCGAAGGCGATGACCACGCTCTGAGCGCCGAGATGCACTTTGCATGATTCTTCAGGCTTGCGCCACATCCGCCGACCCCTTGATTCGGTATGGGTGCCATCTCAGGAGCTCGTAGGGATGTCGGGGCACTCTGTCGGGCACCAGAGACTCACTATTTTGGGGCGCTCTCCTGGGCACTCTGGTCTCCATCGGGTTGTCAGTGCGGGCTCTTCGAGCTCTCTTGGGCTGGGCTCTTGGTATTTTCGGTTCGTTTCTGGTTGTGTCTCTGATTGCGCTCTTTTGCGGCTGTTCTGAGTGCGTATTGGGTTGCAGCTCGAGGCCGCGCTTCCCGCGGAGGGGGGCAGAGGCGTCCGTGCACCGTGGGGGATAAGATGCGTTGGCTGGGGTTCCACGAGAAGGAGTGCGCAAGCTTGTCTGGGTGGCTGCCGCTGGCCAAGGGAATGCCCGTGGCCTTGGGGGATCACTTGGGTCGGTGGAGAAAAACAGCTTCTGAGGGGGCGCATGGCGACGATCCATGGATGGGTGTTGCACGTGGACGAGGTCGTCGGAGATGGGGAAGAGAAAGTCTTGTTGCATCTGCCGGGAGTGATTGTGCTGAACGTCCGCACGAAGGAGTGGCACCTGCCAGGGTGGGGGCTGGGTCTCTATCCGATCTTCCCATCGAAAGGTCGGAAGTGGTTCTTGGGCGGGTATAGGAAGCGTCCAGTGTTGAGTGTGAAACGCACCCAGTTTACAATGACCTCATCATTGGCAGTGACGGCGCACTCTGCGCAGGGCCGGGCCATGGGGGCAGTGATTGCGGACCTTGAAAGAGGGCGCGGCGTGAGTTGGATGTCAAGTTACGTTGCCATCGCGCGCGTGCGTTGGCGAGAGAACCTGCTGATTTTCCAGCCTTTCGATGGGGCACCGTGCAGCGCAGGTGAGATGGCGGGCGCGCAAAAACAAGTGCAGGTGCTACGAGGGGAGAGCGTGGGTTGGGATGCATGGGGGGCGGAACTGATGCCGCGGGGCCAGTGCGAGCGCTGCCGGCGGGGGTTGCTTGTAGAGGCGTTCGCGGAGCACGAGTTCCAGAAGAAGGATAGGCCGGCGTTCTGCGAGGAGTGCGCGGTGGAGATGATGAGCGCGGACGAAAAATGGCGCGCAACGTGCACAGGGTGGGCGGCGAGAGCGGGGGGTGACGAGGCGACTCGAAATAGTGGCGGTCGGAGCGCGGGCGGCGCGGTCGACGACTGGGGGGCGAAGAGGATTCGCGCAATGCGCCGCCCGGCAGAAGTCGAGGAGCGGCAGCGCGAAGTGGAACGAGAGCGTGGGCACTGTGCGATGCGCGAACGATAAGTGCCTGCCGCTGTGTGACGAACAGGCGGGCATGTCGGAAGCTCAGAAGAAACGCAGCGCAGCGGGGCAGAGGTTGTGTCGGAAGTGCGCGGATGATCGAGAGAGGCGGTGCTGCGGGCGAAGTGCGAAGCAGAGAATCGAAAACGGAAAGCCGAGGCAGAAGCGGAGCCGCTGACGTGCTGCGCGCCCGGTTGCGGGGTGTCTTTCTGGTTCTGGGAAGTCGG